GCAGTCATTAACAGTTGTCAACAGGTTTACCACACCTATCAGCCAATCACCCATTCCCACCACCCTTCAGAGTAATAGCCCTCCCCACCCTCTCACTATATATAAGGGTCTGGTGACTTCTGTTTCAGTGTATCTGAAGAAGCGTGCATGCACACGAAAGCTCATACCAAGAACATACTTAGTTGGTCTCTAAGGTGCTACTGGACATTTTTAAATATATATATATATATATTTCTACTGCGTCAGACCAATACGGCTACCTACTTTGGAATTCTGCTCAGTCTTTGGAGGGGGCGGCATTTTGCCTTGCCATTCAATACTTGGGATGGTGTAGCCCGGGTTTGGTATGGTTTTGGAGATTTCCAGCTCAGATCTAAATGCTTGAATGCAGGTCTTCCCTTTGCAAAAAGGACAGAACTCATACTTCAATTACAGTACTAGAATTATGTGGGACAGACTCTATTTTCTGTAGTGTCAGGAGTTCTCATAACATGATTTGGGAAGTGTTGTTTTTTTATTTAAAAAAAAAAGGATAGCAGATGCAGCACTTAAGGTAAGCATCTCATCACTTTTCGTTAATATGATAGGAATCCATTTAAATAAGTAAACACAATCAAATCACTGCACTGGAGAAAAATGCTGATCTATGTTTACACCAAAATTCAAAATCAGACAGTTTTTTATGGAAACTTACATTAATACTGCATGTTATGTTAGAGTTTTTGAAAACAAAATGTTTTGGGTCTTTTTAGCTGATTGATCCGTTCAATATGATCCTTTCCCTACTGTTAGGATGAGTTTTGAATAGAATATACCTCCTAGGGTTTTAAATTCCATACAGCCATATCATAAAGGATATCACTGGTATTTTCTCATTTTGTTCAAATCACGGTTCTCAACATCCATATTCTTTTCCACTGACTATAATTGCAGGAGAATAGCGTTACATTTCAAAACTGAATTGAAATATGTAATATTAAATAGTGGCAGACATCTGGAACATAATGGAAACAACTAGTCATAAATAAAGCAAAGCTTCATCTTTGAGCAGCTGAAACTACAGCTTAATATTAAAACAGAAGCCACTATTCCTTCTTACTAAATGAGTCCAACAATAAAAGATTATATCTGCTCTGGTCTTTCAAAAATGAAAATATCTCGGCATCTGGCTCTATCCACTATATTATTTATTTATTTTATTTATATTCTGGCTTTCTTCCAAGAAGTTCAGGGGTGGCCTACATGACTCTTCCCCTCCTCATTTTATTCCCACAACAGGTAGAAGACTAAGAGGTGGTGACTGGACCAGGATCACCTAGTAAGTTTCATGACTGAGTAGGGATTTGAATCTTGGTCTCTCAGGGCACATGCCCAGGAAAGTTTCAAAAGCACAGCATGGTTATTATTCATTTTGTAGCTAAGAACCTTTTAGCACAGGCTTCCTCAACTTCGGCCCTCCAGATGTTTTTGGCCTACAACTCCCATGATCCCTAGCTAGCAGGACCAGTGGTCAGGGATGATGGGAATTGTAGTCTCAAAACATCTGGAGGGCTGAGGAAGCCTGTTTTAGGACATTTTTCCTTTTCCTGAATGCCTGTCTGACCCGGGAACAATAAAATGAGGTATGGATATGTGAATATTTCACTTATGGCAAACAAAGGCAATTCAAAGTGAGGCTATTGCTCCTTGCATCACATTGCTCTCACTCCGAACTGGTAATGGGGAAGGGTGTTGGAGCACAGCCGCCACCTAATTGGGTGTCATGGGAGAAAAGTCCAGCAACCATTGATTTGAAGCCCCTCCCCAAAAATCCGTGCCTGGGATTTTGTAGCAGACAAAAGTGCCTGTCCCACAGGAAAACTAAATGGAATCATCTATGTAGAACTTAATTATGTACCAGAGGCGCCAGCTTCTGAAGGATTTGGGGGGTTGACATTTAGTGGTGCATGACATCAGAAGAGGCAGGGCGGAGCTGAACATGTTGGCTTCAATGCCCGACAGCTCCTCTTCCTCCTGCTGCCACCACCGACCATGCTCTCCTTTTCCACTCCTTCCCCTCAGTGGCAGGAGGAGGAGGAGGAGGAGGAGGAGCCGGTCATTGAAGCCATGCTGCACTCAGCTCTGCACTCGGACCCCTCCACTGCTTTTGAACATTTGGGGGCCCTGGCCCCTTCCTCAAAATTATTGGGTGTCCCAAAGGGCTCAGCCCCTAGCAGTTGTTATGTACGCAATGTATGTGGATGGCCAATTTGATTCTTAAGAACAATTTATTCCTTGTCTTTCCTCACCCTCCACCCCTACACTTCCTGCTTTGTGTAACATTGACTTCTTCAACCCTAGCGAAGAGGGTCAGAAGACTTGGAACCTTGACACATTTCTGTGACATTTCAGTTGGTCCTAATAAAGTCTGACCTTTGTGTGGCACTTATTTCAGGGTTGTGGTGAAAACTGCACATATATTAACTCCAGCCATTTTGCAGATACGTTCCAGTCCAGTTTTCTTCTCAACCAAGAGCAAAACATAAAAATCACTCTTTTACCATCTGTGAAGTAGTTTTTTTTCTCTTGAACTTTTGTCAAATAATATTCCTCAAGCATCCTAAAGAGTGCTCTCATCCTTTGTAAAAGTGTTTTCAAATCTGCATGCAAATCACAGCGTTCCTAAGCCCCCTATTTGGCGGTTCAGTAATGATGAATTTACATTCATAGGTGGTTTGAATCCTTACAGATAAACAGGCTGTGGTTTCTGCATAAGAGAGTTACAACATCGCCCAAAATCTCATATTTGGGTATCAGAAGAATACTGCAAAATTAATACTAGGAAAGTTAATTATCTGTCCATCGTACCTGGCCTGTATATGGAAGAATTAATTGCTTCTATAATTGTTTATTTAACAGAGAAGGAAAGCGACAAGTTAGTCAATATCCTCCAGATACTTTTGTTTGGTTTTTTTAAATGATATTTATTGAAAAATTTTAAAATTACAGAAAAAGACAAAGCAGAGAAAGAAAAAAGAAAAACAGAAAAGAGGAAGAAAAAACAAACCACATCCAACAATACAAATTCAAAAAACAAAAATACACCACAAACAGATAAAAATAAAACCAACATTCTCAAATCTTCAACTTTCATTACCTTCTTTCTTTGACCTCCTCCTCCTCCCTTTTTTTGTATCCCAGTTAATAATTATCGCAGCAAATCCTTTCCATATTTCATAATATTCTGTCATTACATTACCTTAATCTATTTTCATCTTATCTTATAAAAAACCTTAAAACTTAAAACTTAAATCTTATTTTTACCCACTTCTCATAACCATAATATTCTTGCCTAATTCTTTAAACATTTTTACTAGAGCCAAGTAGTTTCGTTCCAACATTTTTCTAACAGTCATCAATTTTATAAAACAATCCTAGTGATAAAAAAAAAGAAATAGAAACAATCCAATCTTCATCCAGCGTCCCTTCCTCCTGGTCTCAGGTTTTGTCAGTCCTTTTTATCCCATCGATCTAGCGCATTAACCTGGTAACCTTATATCCGAGGTCCTTAAGTCCCTTCCATGTTCCTTCTGCAGCTCTTCTTCATATTCACCTTTTACTCGTGGGAACTCCAACTTGGTAATGTTTTTTACCCTTTTCAACAAATCAGCCCCTTTTCCATAGTCCAGACTAAACTCCATGTAGTATTTAAAAACATGTTTCAGAATCCCTCCAAAATTGAGAGCCCCCACAGCTCCAAACATCTCACGGCCCATTGCCAGACTTGGAAAGTCCAAACATCCCTGCATAGGGGGGTCTATCCAACCCCCCATTTCCAAATCAGTCCAAACTTTATCTTTCCTAATCTGGCTTTTTCCAAGTTCATTTGTCAAATCCAAAAGCTCATGTTCCTGCGGGGTTGCAGCTCCCTCCATCTCTGGCACCCAAGATTCCGCAACATCCTCTTCTCTTCTCTCATCTGTTCTGTCAGGGCACACTCCTGATTTAATTCCTGGGTGGGCTCCATATAGTTTCCCACTGCCTGTTCAAAAATTCTGGCCGCATTAGTCATCAAATCCGTCTTCTCAGTTAATTGTTCCAGTAGAGCATTTATTTTACAGAGAGCACACAACAGAGCTTCTGAATACATTGTCCTACAAGGTCACAAGCCTTTTCCCACGATTGTAATCTGTGACAGCTGCAAGCTCCCTGGAATTAGTTACAGTTTCCCAGTCTCCCTCTAGGGGGAAAACTTCTAATTGTTCTTGCAACAAAGTTTCTTTTTTGAAATATTTTATCAATATTTGTTCCTTTAAAATGCAAAAGGAAACAGTGGAATCACTATGTTTCTCTTCTTTTAGCTATCTGTCAAAAACGTTTGTCTCTGGTCAGTGAGTTTCAAACGCAAGTTTAAACTTCCGCAAGTTTAAACAGTCCGAAAAAGATCCACCTTCTTCTCCGAAGGGGGGTTCGAGGATTTTAAATGATGAAAGCCGATCCTTTAAAAGCGATTTTCTGAGCTCTAGTTTACGTTGTCTTTGCTTTGTTCTGTCTACAAAGAAACGGAAGGCTGACTTCCTGTTTAGACCTTCCCGTTTCAGTACCAAATTGAAGTAATTTTTTAAATCCAATTCCTTTCTGCTCGCAAGTCCTTATTTAAAGTCCAATTATTCAAAGTTTAAGTACTCACGGGTGCTTATTTTAGAAGCCAAATTGTCCCAGGAAAAAGGCAGCACTCTCCGGCAACGGCTGTGCGGCTTCGCTACACGGAAAAAGCAGTTGACTCTCAGCACCGCGCCACTTCTCCCTCTTCGCTTCGGAGCCTGTTAGTGGGTTCCTTTGTGGGTTGGGGGGGCGCTAAGGGTGCCCGCCGAGTCCCATGGTCACAGGCTTCATCTGCCTGTGATTTTTAAAAGGGTCCCCGCTTCGCCGTAGCGGAAAAGACCCGTTTCGCGCGGAGCTAATCCCTCCGGATCAGAGGGAGTCCGCCATTGCCGATGGCACCACCCCGGAAGTCCTCAATAGCCTTCTCCGCCTTTTGGCTAAGATCAAGTGTAGTATCTGTTCTTATCAGTTTAATATCCTCCAGATACTTTTGAACTACACACATCATATTTCTATTTATTTGGACCAAAACAATGATATACCATCTGCCATGCATGTTTGAAAACTTTGCTTTGCAATAATCACCCCCCGTGTGTGTGTGTGTGTGTGTGTGTGTGTGTGTGTGTAATGACTCCTGAAACTCACTGCATATTTTGACTTCTTCATTGATAATTCACTCCAACTGCAACAGTCACTGAGGCTGGGAGCTAAATGATTTTCAATGATCAAGTATGCAATAATCATATACAGAAATGATGTCTGAGCAAGACCTTGAAGACAATCAAAAGTTAAGGGCCTTAGCTCAATGGAAGTGCAGATGCTTTGCATGGGGAACACCCCTGATTCTACCTCTAGCCTCTCCAAGGAAGACTGGGAAAGACTCCTGTCCCAAGCCCTGCTGATTTAGTAGGGCTGCTGGGGCACAGCTCCAGCACATCAAGCAATTATTCCCACCACCATCCCCCAAAAAACATTGCACACTCCTCCCTTCTCCACACACATTTTATTATTCTATTTCAACTCAGATAAGCTCTCTATACATTTCTGTCAGGCAACTGTTCTGTGGCCACTCAGATCTCCAAAGCACTCAGGCAACCCCAAACCAAAAGTATAGCTATGGCAAAAAGGTCTCTCCAATGTGTCTCTGTGCATAAGAACCTGGTGAAAATTGCGCCCTGCCTGCACATGCCACAGAGGCAAGCTTCTCCCAGCAGATGGATTGGCCAAGGACCTTCATAAAAAGTTCAGTCTTTTTATGGCCTGAATATGCTGGTTGTGTCCCAGATTCTCTTTTTCTTTGATTTTTAGGTCAGTCTTTTTCTTCATTATTTCAAATTTCCACACACACCCCTCCTCCCCCTAATTCAAAATCAGGGACAGGAAGCCTGGAGATAAACTTTCTATTTTTGTCGTTCTTTATTTTTCAGTATTTTTATATCCCATCCAATTTTTCTCCAAGGAGCTCAAGGTGGCATTCATCAGTCTTATTTTCCTCATGCTACCCTCATTATATCACAACAACCCTGTGAGGTAGGATGGGCTCATTTCCCATTCCTCCTGTTCAGTCCAATCCCTGACACATACATACCATGGACTGATCCTCATGGAATCCAGTGGGAGTGACTTCCGAGTAATGTATGGTTATTGTCCATGAACCCACACTAGATATTGTAACAACAGGGACCTTCTTCTGAACCACTCTTTTAGATGCTATAAAAGGTAAAGGGTCCCCTGACCATTAGGTCCAGTTGTGGCCGACTCTGGGGTTGCGCCGCTCATCTCGCTTTATTGGCCGAGGGAGCCAGCATGACTAAGCCGCTTCTGGTGAACCAGAGCAGCGCATGGAAACACTGTTTACCTTCCCGCTGGAGTAGTACCTACTTATCTACTTGCACTTTGACGTGCTTTCGAACTGCTAGGTTGGCAGGAGCAGGGACCGAACAACGGGAGCTCACCCTATCACAGGGATTTGAACCGCCAAACTTCTGATCAGCAAGCCGTAGGCTCTGTAGTTTAACCCACAGTGCCACCTGCATCCCTTTTAGGTGCTATAGTTAGGTGCTATTTGTAAAATTGCAATGCTCAAGTGTCCATGTTAGCTGTGCAAGTGAGGAGGATGGAAAGAAAACTGGAATAGCTTGGCCACACCCCCATGACCTCTCATTGGTCATGTCCCCCTGACCTCCTAGCACCCCACAAGCTCTAAGGGGCACCAATCATCACCCAAAGGCACAGAATGAGAGAAATTTGCTTATATCATTCATCATCATTACACAAGCAGTTCGTACAACCTGTTGAAACCTGAGTAGGAAACAGCAGAAAAAATTGAGAGGTGCTTGTTCTCCTTCTACCACACCACTTAGTGCCACTCACCTCTGCCAGTCTAATGTTTATGTGAAAGACTTCCTCTTCCTCTGTGCTCCCTGCCCAAGTCAATAGCACTTGCTGAGGCTGGCGGTGGGCCAAAAGGATATTACTCAGATTGACTTTTTTCCTGCAATTGATCCCACAGCAAAAACATTTACCTTCCACAGCTCAATATTCTGATTGGAGAAAAGGATCCTAAAAAGTATGCTTAGTTTTCTTTACTGTGGAAAAATAAGCTCATGTTTCCCCAGTGGTTTCTTTCTTTGCTTATCTTAACCAGAGTACATTATTTGCAAGCCTTTTTCCCTACAAGGAAGTGTGATCTATGTCAGAAATCCCTCACATCTGAGGAGGCTCTCAAAGGACTATTTGACCACAGACGGAGGGAAAGCATTCGCATGAACTGGCCTGAAACATTTAGTAATAGAAGCAGAATGTTAAGGATGATCAGTTGAAGAAACAGCTGGTGCTTGCCTTTAAAGCCTTTTACTAGGGTTGCCATACGTCCAGAATTCTCCAGACGTAGCCGGAATACTGCAGTTGGAAGCAGTGTCTAGGCGGAAATCACTTATATGCCTGGGAAAATCTGGACATATGGCAACCGATGTTGGAAGTCTAGATTTTGGTAAATTTCCTTTAAAATAGCTCAGTAACTTTTTTTCTTTTTTGAGAGTTTGCTATTTGGGACCCAGCTCCCTGACAAAATGCTTTCTTTCTTGTCAAATTGTATCAGAATTATATCCAGAGACTCTCTTTCAGGTACCCGTACCATCTCTGGTAAAGCAGGTGGCGACCAGAGCAGGAGTCCTTCTTGGTTGTGGCTCCCTATTTAACAGAAGCAGCCCAATACATTTTGCTGCCTGAGGCAAACTTTACTTTCCACATTCCACATAGAGAAGCAGACTAGGCTGGCATTTGAATCTTCCTTCAATACTGATGACAGGACAGTATCCTATTTATATACTGCTTATTTGTCAAAATGGCTTCTAAGCAGTTTACAAGTATAAAACCAGTTGCACATAATTAAAATGCACAATACACAAATAACAACAAAATACACAAATACAACATATATTCACAATTAAAATATACAATGAACAAGTGCATTAAAACTGCATAACAATTAAAAGTTAAAACAGCAATTAAGAACTGGAGGTTCAAGTCAGAGGATCAGGGAAATGCTTGTCTGAACAGTACAAGAGCTATCAAAATGCCGGTATCAGTGGGACCTCTGGCAGCGGTGCCAACTTGAATAAAATATTGGGGAGGCCCAGGTAAGTCCCGCCCCACATAATGGATCACATGACATGGTCACACACACCATTTGAATGGCAATGCCCACCAACTTTTTTTTTTTTTTAAAAGAATATTTATTCCAATTTTAAAGTTACAAAAAAATATAGAAAAGAAAAAACAGAAACCACATATATCTTACAAAAAACAAACAATAAAAAAGAAATAAAGAAGACAAAAAATCACAGTAGAAAATAACAAAAATCAAATTAGACCATTACAACCATTTTCCCATTTACTTGTTTCCATGACTTCCTCTCACCTCCCTGCTTTGTATTCTAGTTTCAATCGTATCTCCAGCAAATCCTTCTAACCTTCTTTTCTTTTACTTATTTTAACATTCGAAAGTACTTAATTCTCCTCTATCCTCATTTTACACTTCATGTTTACTTATTCCATTATACCCTGTCTGCCAATACGGTCTAATATTCTTCTCCAACCTTTTTCTAACATTCTTTTATATTGCAGTGTTTCTGAAGATATGTTTTAAATTTTTTCCAGTCTTCTTCCATCAACCCTTCTTCCTGATCTCGAATTCTGCCGGTCATCTCAGCGAGTTCCATATAGTCCATCACTTTCCTCTGCCAAATGCCCACCAACTTTTATGGGGCCCAGCCCCCTCAAGTATTTTATTTGGCACTCCAAAGCTCCCTCAGCCCCTAGGAGTTGACTCCTATGACCTCTGATTTCAAAATACAGTGGTACCTTGGGTTAAGAACTTAATTCATTCTGGAGGTCTGTTCTTAACCTGAAACTGTTCTTAACCTGAGGTACCACTTTAGCAAATGGGGCCTTCCTCCTGCGCCACCGCCGCACGATTTTTGCTGATGCAAAGTTCTTAACCTGAGGTACTATTTCTGGGTTAGCGGAGTATGTAACCTGAAGTGTCTGTAACCCGAGGTACCACTATACAGCATCCCACAACACTGCCGCTATTAAACCAAACAAGACAGAGATGCTGCTTTTCAGGAGTGAAACAGACTCTGGAATATGGATTTAACCTGTTCTGGCTGGGTTTGTACTAAGGCTGTCCATAGACACTACCACCGTGCCTCAATCTGCCCCATGGCTCTGATCTAGAGGGCCCATATTGGGTCCACCCAACCTATGGCAACCTAGGGACAACACACCTGGATCCATCTCAGATCTATTAGGCATTGCTCATGCTTAATTGGGTGGGGTTTTTTTAATCAAACATATAATCAGGAGTGGGGGGGGCAGAAGGAGGAGGTGCTTTGTCTCCTCCCTGCCCCCCAACAGAGAAGGAAGAATCATGTGCAGCTTTATGTGTGAAACACTTCCATCACTCACTGCCTAGTGTTGTGGAGAGCTGGGAACAATTACGCAACTCCTCAGCACTGCAAAGAGATCAACAACTGAGTAAATGTATGAACATGGCCCAACGATTCTATGAACACTTACACAAACTATTAAGCTTTTTCTTACAGTGAAGGAATTCTTTGAATCAAGCATCCATTGTGGCAGCAAAGTCAAAGCAACATGCTGTTTATCCTCTTCACGTTTGCTTTGTTTCCGTGTTGAAGTTGGTGCGATAAAAGTAGTCTCTGTAACATAAGGTGATTTTCTTTATTGCACACTTACAGTTTATGTTGCCATAAAACTCATGCCAAGAATGGAAAGGTGAAGAGGATTAAAGAAATGCTATAAAACATATCAAAATAGATTGCACAAACAATTATTGTTCTCTAAGAAATAAACGATTACATGAGTTGATTTGGGACAGCTGCGGAATAGCAGCTGAACTAGATGTATTAAAAAAAGCTTGGATTGCAGATTTTATTATCAGCAAATATTATCTTTTTAATCTTTATTGCCAAATGAGAGCACTGAATACCACTCAGGTTAACCTA